GCCATGAAATCCGAAATGGACTCCATGTACTCCAACAAGGTATGGACCTTGGTAGATCTACCCAAAGGAATTGTTCCTATAGGCTGCAAGTGGATCTATAAGAAGAAAATTGGAGTTGATGGAAAGGTATCGACCTATAAAGCTAGATTGGTAGCAAAAGGATACACTCAAAGGCAAGGTGTTGACTATGAGGAAATCTTTTCGCCAGTCGCGATGCTGAAGTCCATTAGGATTTTGCTGGCCATAGCTGCGTGGTACGACTACGAGATATGGCAAATGGATGTGAAGACCGCCTTCCTTAATGGAGATATTGAGGAAGAAATTTACATGGCGCAGCCGGAAGGCTTCATATCTTCTGGAAGTGAGCAAAAGGTTTGCAAGCTCCAGCGATCCATTTATGGATTGAAGCAAGCATCCCGTAGTTGGAACATTAGGTTCGACTCAACTATCAAAGAGTTTGATTTTGAGAAGAATCCGGAGGAACCTTTTGTATACAAGAAGGTTAGTGGGAGGGCAGTGATATTTTTAGTGCTTTACGTTGATGACATTCTACTCATTGGGAATGACGTAGGAATGCTGCAACAAACGAAAGCATGGTTGTCCACACGTTTCTCAATGAAGGATTTGGGAGAAGCATCTTACGTATTAGGAATACGCATCTATAGAGATAGAGCAAGGAAGATGCTTGGCTTATCCCAAAGCCTGTACATAGACACCGTTATGAAACGGTTTAGCATGGAAGAATCCAAGAAGGGATTCTTGCCAATGTCCCATGGGGTTCGTCTCTCGAAATCTATGTGTCCGCAAACACCTAGTGAAATCGAGGAGATGAAAAGGACGTCTTATGCTTCTGCCATAGGAAGCATAATGTATGGCATGCTGTGTACAAGACCTGATATTGCGTATGCTGTGAGTGTCACAAGCAGATATCAGTCTAACCCCGGCCCGGCTCACTGGAAAGCCGTGAAAGATATCCTCAAGTACTTGCGAAAAACTAAGGATATATTTTTGGTCTATGGGGGTGCCGAGTTGAAATTAGAGGGTTTTACTGACTCTAGTTTTCAATCGGATGTGGACGACTCAAAGTCGAATTCTGGATTTATATTCACGCTTAATGGTGGTGCCGTGTGTTGGAAGAGTTCCAAGCAAAGAACGACGGCCGATTCCACTACCGAAGCGGAATACATTGCAGCGTCTGAAGATGCAAAACAAGGGACTTGGATAAGGAAATTCATCCAAGAGTTGGGTGTCATTCCTGATGCTAGTGATCCAGTACCGTTGTACTGTGATAACACCGGAGCCGTGGCGCAAGCTAAGGAGCCACGATCTCATCAGAAGTCGAAGCATATTCTGAGGAAGTATCACGTGATCCGAGAGATCATTGATAAAGGTGAAGTTAAGGTTGAACGAGTCACCTCGGAAGAGAACGTTGCAGACCCCTTCACGAAGCCTTTACCGAGATCGGTCCATGAGAAACATCGAGAGTCGATGGGATTGCGATTTATGGTTAGTTGGCTTTAGGTCAAGTGGGAGATTGTTAGAGTAGGTGACCAACAAGCCAACATGTGGCTGTGGTCTTCCGTATTTATTATTGTAATAAACGAACCTTTATTCGTATTAATGATAAAACACCTTGGCATTCTATATCTTTGTCCCTTTGTCACAAGCATAGATATAGTCCTTACAGTTATTACAAGTGCTAGTAATTGATCGTTAGGATCGTGAGATATTTACTCAAGTATTATAATTGTTAAACGTGTTCCTAGTCGAAGGGTTACGCCACTAATGAGGATATCGGCCTTTCCCATTAAGACTAGCACTTAGTGTATGTGTACTGCATCTCATCAGTAAACGGTATTGTGATATCGGCATGCATAAGTGGGTGCTCGTAAGTTGACGAGTTCACTGAACTCCCTCACCCTAGAAATCTCTAAGTGGTTCCCAATAATCGAGTAGAGATATCTATGGTATAGTTGTACACCATTAGTCCTTATGACCTAGACATCATCGTGACTTCACTAGAGGACCAGCTGTATCGTGACCTGTCCCTGAGTTCCACCGAGGACCATCCCAAGGGCCAGTATTCGTGCAGTCCGAAATCTAGTGGGAGGTCTGTGCATTGTAGTCGGGGATTCGATCGCTAGAATAGTCTTGGATGTCCTGTGTGTTCTGAAAGTTTGTAATCATTCTAAGTCTCTGGCCAGAGCTGACTAAGTGATGATTAGAGAATTCGATTCTCTAAGTCATGCACGTGACAATTACAACACTTGGAACGATCGCACCGTCATCGAACATATAAAGAGGTCTTGATGAACCAATGCCTCTAGTTCGATCGGGACATATGTATCGAAGGGACCGTACTGTACGTTAACTATATCTGAAGGTTCTTGCAGGCACTTCATTTGTATCTAGGGAATCATGACGCGTAGTTGCTAGACGCCAATCTTGATTCGTTGGGTGATTAAGGTGAAACGAGCTTCATCTTAATCGTAACTCTAAGGGACGAGTTTTTACCACAAAGGGTTGTGGGCCCACGGCTAGCTTACACCTGAACCATCGAGGGTCACACTGCTCGTGCACATGAGATCTTTGAATAAACGGTCAGAGATAAAATAAGTTTATCTTTGCATGATTGGAAGTCAATATGATTGGATCCAACATTCATAATTTGGAATTATGAATGAGAATAAGAAAAGGAAAAGAATAGGCGAACGTGTTAGTGAACTTTCTAAATCGGGAAGTTTCCAAATTTAGAAAGTGCACTGGACTAGGGTTTCCACTTTTGGAAAGTTGGAAAATGAAAGATGGCACTCGTAATGACGAGGATATTATAATGATTCCGAAAATGTAATTGTTGCGATTTTCCGATCATTGAATTGAGAGAGACGAGCAAGTAAAGGAACTAACGAGCTTAAGCTGTTGGGCCCGGTCCAACTTAAGCCCGTTAGGGTTTTATGCAAGGGACTATAAATACTAGATTTATAGGCCTTGCACAAACACACAAGACCTAACCCTAACCCTAGCCGTCCACCTCTCTCTCTCTCTCGGCCTCTCTCTCCCGCGGCCATCACCGGCGCAGTCGCCGGATTCTCGCCGGAATCGGCCGTTCATCGGCAACGCTGGGGCCAGTTGTGCACTTTATTGGTCAAACCCTTGAAAAGGCCTACGCCGGGGCGAGCTGTGAGATGGAAGAAGCCGGAGGGGGAGCGATTTACTTTGAAGGCGGAGTGGAACAAGTCGCCCGTGGGCTCTATAGAGGACGAGCAACATACCTTCGACGAACAGGATCTCGCCGACGAGCAAGAGATATCCGACGAGCAGGATCTCTCGGACGAGCAGCATACCTGCCTTGGTAGTCTCTTTCCTTCTCTTTTTCTTCCGTTTTTCTAACTATTACGTGTCTAGTGCCACGTGTTTAGTAGATCAAAGTATACGAGGTGAAATCTGAGATGAGGAAGATCGAAGATCGAAGAATCGAGGAGCAGCACACGAGCCGTAGCCGCACGCAACCCCACGCGCCGCCCGAAGACCGCGCGTGAGTTACACGCGCCGCCACGGCCCGTCTCGCCGCTGCTGCCGCTGCACCGCTGCTGCCCCGATTGTACGGATTGGTTTCCGTAGCAATCCCGACTTGCTTAGCGCTCCTACCTCACGCTTCAAGAGGTAAACACACGAATCCCTTGTTTCGATTCGTTTACGTTTAAACTAAATATTCATGTTTGCTTTCGTATGATTTTATGTGATTATGTGTAATCCTTTTAATCGTTGCAAGCATGTTAGTTGGTTTAAACGCGAGCATGTTAATTGGTTTAAATTCGATTAAACATTTTAGCATGTATGTTGTTTTTAATTTCGCTGGAAGCGCAAAGGTACGGAATTAATTGATTTTAATTTGTCGGGCATGTGCTTGTGTGCTTTAAAGTCGTTTAAATCGCATTAAATTTTTGTTTTCCGCTGCGTACACATGCCTAAAACCCAACAATAAATAGATGTTTTACTCATTTGTAAAGGTACGTTCTATTCATTCACAATCAAGCTAGAGTATTATTCTCTCTGCCATATCCACCATATGTATATCTGATTTGATCGTCGGAGGGGTTTCCGCCGGATCCACCCCCGGCTTAGTTCAAATGTGCTCATTTCACAGGGACCTCAGGATCATTAAGTTGACAAGCTACTGATCCGCTTTGCTCTCCCAGCTCGTTTTCTACACTACCCTAGGTGATCTAAGAAATTAGCATCATCTGTTTGGCGCCGTCTGTGGGAACGATGCAAACCAGATCACGTAGCCAACAAGATCCTCCTGAGGCGTCTGCTCGGAGAGAAAATGACACAGCTAGCAACCTCCCAGTCCGTGGAGGATCTGGCTTGCCACCTCCTCCACGTGCTGCGGACCCTCCTCGCGAGGTTCAGGTGATCCCCCCTCGGGACCCACCACTCGCCGATCCGCCACTCCCTGCTCCTCGAACGGTTCAAATAACTGAGGATGCGCTCTAACGCATGATAGCATAAGCCTCAACTCGCGCCGCCACCGAAGCCGTGACTCAATATATCGCCACGATGGGATCAAACGCTCCCAATGTGATACCTGTGCCAGCTCCACCAGTGGTGCAACCTATGGCACCACCGCCAGTTCAGAATCAAATAAGTGTATCATCCTCCACCTCGGACCCACGGTCCCGAGTGCAGCTATCCACCAATCACAGGGGGGGCACAGCCCCGACAGCAACGTCAGCGCTCACCCCCACGGGGGAATGCGTCCCCACAGAGACTCCCTCTCTTTAATGAGGGAGAAGGCGAGATAAACAGTAGAATGTCTCGCCAAATTCCTTTCCCCCAACCGAATAATCCAATGGGTGAAAGAATGACCGTCCCAGTAAGCGCAGTCCTTCACCATAGACATTCTCAACGAGGTATTACCTCAAGGAGTGAAGATCTCGGGGTTACCTCAATTTGAAGGGACCACCGATCCACAAGAGCATATAGAGAAATTCAATGCCATGGCGGATTTATACGGCCCGACGGACGCAGTGATGTGCAAAATGTTCCGCACCACTCTCTCAAATAGAGCTATGAATTGGTTCAACTCTCTACCCACAAGATCGATTGACACCTTCGCTCGGTTGTCAACACGGTTCACCAATCAATTCGCCATCAACAAGCAGTATGCCAAGACCCCAGCCCACATTTTCTCTGTAGTACAGAGAGATAACGAAACGCTCCGCAACTACATCAAGCGTTTCGTAGAAGCCGTCCATGAAGTCCCCAGTGTAGGGCAAGACATGCTGTCTGGGATTATGCAACAAAACTTGAAGCCAGGTAGATTCAAAGAATCAATCGCCGGAAGGCCTCCAGGCAATCTAGAGGAATTGCTGAATCGAGCCGAAAAATATGTACAGATAGAGGAAGCCTCTACCCATGCTCCTCCTAAAAGGAAAAGGGAAGATGACCGTCAGGACAATAGGAGGCGGGATGATCGACGTCCACCACTTCCACCTCAAGGTCAACCATCTTCCTCCTACAATAGGTTCACGCCGCTAAACACTCGCCTCACTGAAATCCTCCACGTGATAGAACAAAGAGGTTTAGCAGAGCTTCCACGTCCTATGCAGCCAAATGCAAAACAAGAAAAGTCGGACTGCTACTGTCGATTCCACAAGGATAGAGGACATACTACCGAGGATTGTGCACAACTCAAGGTAGCCATTGAAAGATTGATCAAGCAGGGCCACTTAGGCGAGTACATCGATAAGACTCGAAACAAGCTCCGTGATGACCTCCCACGCCGAGATAACAATCGAGATCAAACACAACGAAGAGAGGAGGGAAGTCATCGGCGAGGACAAGATAACAATGACAATCAACCCACCCTGGGAGCCATTAACTTTATCTCCGGAGGACCGGCGGGTGGCGATTCACAAAATGCGAGACGCAACCTCGCTCGGTCAGCACGTATGAATCAAGAGCATGCCTCTTCGTCCGCCTCTATCTACCAGATACGAAGACCTGATCATAGCATAATCTTCAACTCTTCGGACCTTGAAGGTCAAGATGAATATCATGTTGATACACTGGTGATCACAGCATCGGCCGCCAATTTCCTGGTTAAGAAGATATTGGTGGACGGTGGAAGCTCAGCCGACATAATATATCTCCACGCTTTCAAGCAACTAGGCATAGATAATGCCCAGTTTAACCCCATCTCCACGCCCCTAAAATGATTCACGGGAGAGGGCGTGTTATCCATGGGTGAAGTGGAATTGCCTATCTCCTTAGGGGAAAACCCTTGTCGAATCACCAAGATAATCAAATTTCTCATCGTCGACAAGTCGTCCCCTTACAATGTCATCCTAGGGAGGCCAGCAATCCACACATTCAAGTCAGTGCCTTCATCCTACCATCAAAAGTGGAAATTCTCCACTCCTTATGGAATGGGGGAAGTATTGGGAGATCGACGTCTCGCCTGAGAATACTATGCAAGGGCCCTACGAGAACCTTCCAAGAAGCCTAAACCGTCCGGAAGGGGAGACGACACTCAAAAATCCGACAAACGGAAGTGGGTCAACGTAATCATCCAGGATGATAAAGAAATCCTTATCAGTGTACCAGACGACAGCATCAAGCTAGCAGCCGTCGAAGAGCTTAAGGTCATAGAGCTCACACCCGGAGATGATTCCAAGCTTATACGAATCGGATCCGATCTAGATCCAAAGACGGAACAACAGCTAATCAACTTCCTACGACACAATGGAGATGTGTTCGCATGGAAAGCCCAAGATTTGACGGGCATTCCTCCTCAGGTAGCTCTACACCGGCTCAACGTCGACAAAAGTTTGAAGCCAGTCAAACAAAGGAAACGGACATTTGGTCCCGAACGCAACAAGCATATCAAAGCGGAAGTGGCAAAACTTCTTGAGGCAGGACATATACGACCAGTTTAGTATCCTGAATGGTTGTCGAACGTAGTACTCGTTCCCAAGCCGGGTGGCAAGTGGAGATTATGCGTAGACTTCACTGACCTCAACAAAGCTTGCCCTAAGGACCCATTTCCTCTACCTAGAATCGACCAACTCATCGATTCGACCTCGGGGTGCGAGCTCCTCAGCTTCCTCGATGCATATCAAGGGTACAACCAGATCTTACTCGCACCAGAAGATCAAGGGAGGGCTAGTTTCTTCACTGACCAAGGCATCTACTGCTATCAAGTCATGCCTTTCGGGTTAAAAAACGCGGGATCCACTTACCAGCGTCTAGTGAACACAATGTTCGCAGACCAGATCGGTAAGAATATGGAGGTGTACATCGACGACATGCTCGTCAAAAGTGTCAAGGTCTCGGACCATTTAACTGATTTGGATCAATGTTTTGCCACCCTGCGAAAATATAAGATGAAGCTCAACCCCCTCAAATGTTCATTCGGAGTTCGGGGAGGCAAATTTTTGGGATATATGATTTCGCAGCGGGGAATCGAAGCTAATCCCGCAAAAATCGAAGCAATCACCTCCATGCCTCCACCAACATCTATCAAGAAAGTCCAACAGCTTAACGGTTGTTTGGCGTCTTTGAATAGATTCATTTCTAGATCAGCAGACAAGGCCCTCCCCTTCTTCAAGATTTTAAGGGGAGGAAAGAAATTCGAATGGGATGAAGCATGTCAAAAAGCATTCATTGAGCTGAAGTTGTATCTCGCATCCCCACCCTTGCTCACAAAACCTCAGCCAGGAGACACCCTCCTACTGTACTTAGCTACCTCAGCTGATGCCATCAGCGCAGTCCTCATCCGAGATGGAGGAAAAGGTCACCAACCCATATATTACATTAGTCGCGCCCTTCAAGGAGCCGAACAACTCTATACCAATATGGAAAAGCTCGCTCTTGCCCTCATCAATGCAGCTCGGAAGCTTCGACCTTACTTCCAGTCACATCAAGTGGTGGTTCTCACCAATTATCCTCTGAAGCAGATACTAAGGAGTCCCGAGACATCCGGGCGATTGGCAAAGTGGGCGATAGAGCTAAGTGAATATGGGGTGGAATTCAAACCCCGCCCCTCTATCAAAGCGCAAGTACTGGCTAACTTTCTAGTCGAAATGACCTCAGTAGAAGGAAACACCTCTATACCTACTTGGTTTGTCAGCGTCGACGGATCTTCCACTGCCACATGAGGTGGATCGGGTATCGTCCTAACAAACCCTGACGGAGACGAGTTCGAATATGCTCAACGATTCGAATTCACAGCCTCAAACAACGTCGCTGAATACGAAGCACTGATAGCAGGAATCCGCCTCGCCCTAGCTGCCGGAGCACGTAAGCTCCTAATCCAAAGCGACTCTCAGCTCGTCGTTAACCAAGTACTCGGCGTTTACGAGGCCAAATAAGACACCATGGCCAAATACTTAGCTCTCACACACACTTTATTATCCAAGTTCGAAAGCTACGAAATTAAACAAGTACCTCGCTCCAGTAACGTTCATGCGGACAAATTGGCTAGGCTTGGAAGCTCCATGGCAGGCATTGGAAGTCGAAAGGTGACGCTCCTCACTTCACCTCAGCCGGAGATACTTTCACCCAATGAAATACAGTACAACGAGGAGGATGAACCATGCTGGTTCACTCCAATCATAAACTATCTCAAGAAGGGAGAACTCCCTGCTGATCTCACTGAAGCCCGGAAGTTAAAAACGAGAGCCGCTCGCTTCATCATAGTGGGAGAATAATTGTACAAACGAGGGTTCTCATTCCCCTATCTCAAGTGCCTCGACCCGACCACAGCGAATTACGTACTTAGAGAAGTACATGAAGGTATCTGCGGAAATCACTTAAGCGGGAGAACCTTAGCTCTCAAACTACTGAGGCAAGGCTACTATTGGCCAACGATGCATGAAGACGCAAAGAGATTAGTCCGGAGGTGTAAGCCCTGCCAAGAGCATGCCAATATCCCTCATCTACCAGCGGCATTAATGCAACCAATTGGCAGTCCCATCCCTTTCGCCCAATGGGGAATGGATTTAGTTGGACCATTCCCACCCGACACGGGAGGGCGCAAATTCCTCATTGTAGCAGTGGATTACTTCACCAAATGGGTGGAGGCTGAACACTTAGCACGCATTCGAGAAGAAGAAGTCATCCAATTCCTATGGAAAAACATCGTGTGTCGCTTTTGCATCCCACGTGCCATTATCTCAGATAATGGAACCCAATTTTGCGGCGACAAAGTAAAAAATTGGTGTCTCGGCTTGGACATCAAACAGTTTTTCACATCCGTAGCCAATCCACAGGCTGTTAGAGTAGGTGACCAACAAGCCAACATGTGGCTGTGGTCTTTCGTATTTATTATTGTAATAAACGAACCTTTATTCGTATTAATGATAAAACACCTTGGCATTCTATATCTTTGTCCCTTTGTCACAAGCATAGATATAGTCCTTACAGTTATTACAAGTACTAGTAATTGATCGTTAGGATCGTGAGATATTTATTCAAGTATTATAACTGTTAAACGTGTTCCTAGTCGAAGGGTTACACCACTAATGAGGATATCGGCCTTTCCCATTAAGACTAGCACTTAGTGTATGTGTACTGCATCTCATCAGTAAACGGTATTGTGATATCGGCATGCATAAGTGGGTGCTCGTAAGTTGACGAGTTCACTGAACTCCCTCACCCTAGAAATCTCTAAGTGGTTCCCAATAATCGAGTAGAGATATCTATGGTATAGTTGTACACCATTAGTCCTTATGACCTAGACATCACCGTGACTTCACTAGAGGACCAGCTGTCGTGACCTGTCCCTGAGTTCCACCGAGGACCATCCCAAGGGCCAGTGTTCGTGCAGTCCGAAATCTAGTGGGAGGTCTGTGCATTGTAGTCGGGGATTCGATCGCTAGAAAAGTCTTGGATGTCCTGTGTGTTCTGAAAGTTTGTAATCATTCTAAGTCTCTGGCCAGAGCTGACTAAGTGATGATTAGAGAATTCGATTCTCTAAGTCATGCACGTGACGATTACAACACTTGGACCGATCGCACCGTCATCGAACATATAAAGAGGTCTCGATGAACCAATGCCTCTAGTTCGATCGGGACATATGTATCGAAGGGACCGTACTGTACGTTAACTATATCTGAAGGTTCTTGCAGGCACTTCATTTGTATCTAGGGAATCATGACGCGTAGTTGCTAGACGCCAATCTTGATTCGTTGGGTGATTAAGGTGAAACGAGCTTCATCTTAATCGTAACTCTAAGGGACGAGTTTTGACCACAAAGGGTTGTGGGCCCACGGCTAGATTACACCTGAACCATCGAGGGTCACACTGCTCGTGCACATGAGATCTTTGAATAAACGGTCAGAGATAAAATAAGTTTATCTTTGCATGATTGGAAGTCAATAAGATTGGGTCCAACATTCGTAATTTGGAATTATGAATGAGAATAAGAAAAGGAAAAGAATAGGCGAACATTGTAGTGGACTTTCTAAATCGGGAAGTTTCCAAATTTAGAAAGTGTACTGAACTAGGGTTTTCACTTTTGGAAAGTTGGAAATTGAGAGTTGTCACTCGTAATGACGAGGACTTTATAATGATTCCGAAAATGTAATCGTTGCAATTTTTCGGTCATTAAATTAAGAGAGACGAGCAAGTAAAAGTACTAACGGACTTAAGCTGTTGGGCCCGGTCCAACTTAAGCCCGCTAGGGTTTTATGCAAGACATATAAATACTTGATTTATAGGTCTTGCCCAAACACACAATAAAAACCCTAACCCTAGCCGCTCACACCCTCTCTCTCGGCCCTCTCTCCTCGGCCACCGCGCCGCCGTCGCCGGAGAATCGCCGGAATCGGCCATCCGTTGGCCGATCCCTTTCGGTAATCTTTTCCTCTTTTCGTTTCTTCCGTTTTATTCTAACTACTTCGTGTCTAGTGCCACGTCTTAGTAGATCGAAGTATACGAGGTGAAATCCGAGAGGAGGAAGATCGAAGAATCGAGGAGCAGCCTTCAAGCTGACGACGCACGCGACCAACGCGCCGCCCCGAAGACCGCGCGTGAGATACACGCGCCGCCGTGCCGTCTCGCCGCTGCTGCCCCGGATTGTACGGATTGGTTTCCGTAGCAATCTCGACTTGCTTAGCGCTCCTACATCACGCTTCAAGAGGTAAACACACGAATCTCATGTTTTTGATTCGTTTACGTTTATACAATATATTCATGTTCGTTCTCTTATGATTTT